CCTCCTCCTCCTCCTCCTCCTCCTCCTCCTCCTCCTCCTCCTCCTCCCCCCCCTCCTCTTAGCTGGTCGACCTTGCCTCAGGCCCTGCATCTGCGGCCGGCCCCGTCTCAGAGGCCAGCGGAAGAGGCCCAGGCTTGCGGACGTGCGCTCCCCGCAGGGCCTCGCTGGGTCGGCGGCGCCGCGCACAGCCGAGTTCGCGCCGCAGCAGCTGGCGTCCGTGGCGTGGGCGGCGCCCTCGGGCGCCGATCGTCGCCAGGTCGAGAGGTCGGAGGGGTCGAGGGTGAGGGAAGGGGAGGAGGGGGAGGGGGACGAGGGGGTGGAGAAGGTGGATAATGAGGAGGAAGAGGATCGGTCGGGTCGAGGAGGAGGAGGAGGAGAAGGAGAAGGAGAAGGATGAGGAAGGGGGGAAGAGGAAGAGGAGGAGGAGGAAGAAGAGGAAGGGGCGATAAGGATGATCATGGGAAGGATGAGGAGGATGATGAGGAGATGAAGGAGAAGGAAAGTAGGAGGAGGAAGTCAAGGAGGAGGAAGAGTGTTCGAGGGGTCGAAGAGGAGGGCGAGGGGGAGGAGGAGGCTTGAGGTTCGAGGCTCTTGGGCGGTTTCCGAACTTTCTGAATGCCTAGTAGTCCTGTCGGAGCTATGTGGGTCACATCGCGCTCGGGCCAGAAATGGCCGCGGACCAGCCGATCGGGGACCTTGATTCGTCAGTTGGATGAGCGGAGAGGTACTGCGACAGTGGAGGAGGAGGAGGAGGAGGAGGAGGAGGAGGAGGAGGAGGAGGAGGAGGAGGCAGGAGGAGCCGCACTCAGAGCAGGATGTGCCTCACGCGTAGTGCTGGCAGCCGCAGGCTCCAAGGAGGAGTCGGGCAAAAGGGGGCTTATACCTGAGCTGACCAGGGACGTCGTTTCCGATGTACTCAGAGGAGGGGTGTCTAAATCCGAAGATGGCGATGTGCACCGTAGCTGTATCTTGGACTCGAGGGTGATCAGCCAGTGAGCCCACAGGAGGGTCCGGGACAGTCCCGCCCGAGCCGAAAACACGTCACTGACCTGAAGCCTTTTCAGTTCAAGCGAGTTTGGATCATACATCATCATCTTCAAGATCATCATCATCATCATCATCATCATCATCATCATCATCATCATCATCGTCGTCGTCGTCGTCGTCGTCGTCATCACCATCATCACCATCATCATCATCATCATCATCATCATCATCATCATCATCATCATCATCATCATCATTATCATTATCATCATCACCACGATAATCATCACCACTACATCTGGCAATCGAGTTTTCCACTTGATTGAGTGACCCCAGCCAGATGATGTCGACGTAGACGTTCGTCGCGCTGTTCGGTTTCGCGGCGCTTGGGTTCCTTGGCGGAAGGAGGGAGGGGAGGAGAGGGAGAGGAGAATTGCATACGTTGCCCCGGGGACAGTAGTCAGGACAGCCGAGGTACATCGCTTTGGGGATTCAGCCACATTTGTTCGAGGACGTCCAAGGACTATGAGCGGTCATTGCGGTAGGCTCAAGATCCAGTCTCGCTTAATCCGATGTGACTCGTGCCATCGGCATAACCATAACCAGATGTGAATGGTGTACCAGCTTATGCATATCATCCATAAGGGCTTCGCCCTCTGCCGCGGGCCCTCTCTATATCAGAAATTGGGATGTCAGAACTATGCTGGGACGTGTCGGCGCTGTTTTGAAATCTTCTGGGCACAAGCGAGGGCGATTGGTAGTCAGCTAGCACCTTGCTGTTTCGGAGTTGTTGTTGGACTTTTTGTTTTCTTCTCAGAGCGCGAAGCTGGCGTAGTTTACGAAAGTATCTGGCCTCGGGAAGACGAGCCAGATGTAATTTACAAACGGATTCTTGTCTTCGGAGCCCGAACCTGGCGAAGTTGCAAAGGATTCTGGCCTCAGGAGCGCGAATTCGGTGCAATCTGCGACGGATTGTGTCTTCGGGAGCGCGAATTCGGAGTAATATGCGAGGGATCGTGATTTCGGAAGCGCGAGCCTGGCGTATATCCTGGGCTGCCCTGAGAGCTTCTCTCGAGGGCTCCTATACTTCCTAACAGCTGCCAGGCCAGAATTTCACATGATGCGAGATTTCTCGAGCAAGGATCGGTTGCTCGAACGAGAACCGAGAATCGGTCCCTCGAACAAGGATCGAGGATCGGTCCGTTGATCGAAGATCGACGAGCGCTTCCTCGGGCGGCCGCGGCGCCGAGAGTGCCGCCGCCCCCATGACGTCATGATTCTTCCATAGCGTCGACCTAAAAGGTCTCGACCCATTTCCCGGGGACCAGTTTTTCATTCCGAATCGTTTCCTGACGGTCCCAGGGCCCGGTAAGGGCCTCCAGTGGCATTTTCCCACAACATCGACCCCAATTTAAGGCCTCGACCCGTTCCACGGGACTGGCATTTCGTCCCGCATCGTTGTCTGACAGTCCCCGGGGCGTGGCCAGTGCCCCTGGCGGCTTTGTCCCATAACGGCGACCCCAAGTAGAAGGTCTCGACCCGTTCCCTGGGACCGGCATTTCGTCCCGAATCGTTTTCTGATGGTCTCACTGCGCGGTAGGGGCCCCCCCCCCCAGAGGCCGAAAACAACGGAACGCCTACCGTCCTGTTTTTGTGCACGACTCCAGGGGGTCTGGGATAGAGAATTTCTGTTTTGAGCTCCACGCTCGCCTCGACCTCAGAGAACGGAACAGTCGCCCACCAACTACGAGGAGGAGAGGGTAGTGGGGGCAGGGTCGAGGAGAATCGATGAGGGGAGTGGGCGAGGCGGGGAGGGAGGAGGGAGGAGGAGGAGGAGGAGGTAGGGAGGAGGAGGAGGGAGGGAGGGAGGAGGAGGAGGAGGAGGAGGGAGGGAGGAGGAGGAGGAAGGGAGCAGGAGGAGGAGGGAGGAGGGAGGGAGGAGGAGGAGGAGGAGGAGGAGGAGGAGGAGGAGGAGGAGGAGGAGGAGGCAGGGAGGAGGAGGAGGAGGAGGAGGAGGAGGAGGAGGAGGGGAGGAGGAGGAGGAGGAGGAGGAGGAGGAGGAGGAGGAGAGAGGAGGAGAGGAGGAGGAGGAGGAGGAGGAGAGGAGGAGGAGGAGGAGGAGAGGAGGAGGAGAGGAGGAGGAGGAGGAGGAGGAGGAGGAGGAGGAGGAGGAGGAGGAGGAGGAGGGAGGAGGAGGAGGAGGAGGAGGAGGAGGAGGAGGAGGAGGAGGAGGAGAGGAGGAGGAGGAGGAGGAGGAGGAGGAGGAGGAGGAGGAGGAGGAGGAGGGAGGAGGAGGAGGAGGAGGAGGGAAGGAGGAGGAAGGGAGGAGGAGGAGAGGAGGAGGAGAGGAGGGAGGAGGAGGAGGAGGAGGAGGAGGAGGAGGACTACAGGGGCCGAATCTGGGATAGTGGATCGAGGGTTGCTTCCTCGGGCGGCAGGGGCGCCGAGAGCGCCGCCGCCCCGCCGCGACGACGCCAGCGACCACAACGACGACGACGACGACGACGACGACGACGACGACGACGCCAGCGACCACAACGACGACGACGACGACGACGACGACGACGACGACGACGACGACGACGACGACGACGACGACGACGACGACGACGACGGCGACGACGACGACGACGACGACGACGACGACGACCACGACGGCGACTGCGACGGCGACGGCGACGGCGACGACGACGACGACGACGACCACGACCATGACCACGGCCACGACCACGACCACGACGGCGGCGATGACGCCGTCGCCGCCCGCCTGCCGAGAGCGCCGCCGCGCCCGCCGGGACCGCCGAGGCGGCCGCGCCGCTGCGGGCGGCCGCGGGCCCCGCCGTGGCCCGCCTGGCGGCCGGCGCCTCGCGAGGCGCGGGCGGGCTCACGCCGGCGGAGTTGGCGATCGGGCGGGGCCAGGACGGGGATAAGTTCGTTGCAGAGCGTTCCAGAAGGGAGGGGGAGCAGGAAGAGGAGGAGGAAGAAGAGGAGGATGAGGAGGAGGAGTAGGAGCAGGATGGGGAGGAGGAGGAGGAGGGAGGGAGGAGGAGGAGGATGGGGAGGAGGAGAGGATAAGTCCGTTCCAGAGCGTCCCGAAACGCTTCCACATAGGGAAGCGAATAATGACATAAACACGTAAACTCGGAGGTCCGCGCGGATTTTTCGGATCGGCGCTAGGGCCCCAGGCGGCGCCTCCAGCGCCAGCCCTGGCGCGCTCCGCGCGCCAAGGAGGGGGGTTCCAGCGCCGATCCGAGGAATCCGCGCGGACCTCCGAGTTTTAACGTTTATGGCTTTTTTTTGTTCCCCTCTCAGAGCGTTCTGGAATGCTCTGAGAAGGCCGCGGGGCCCGCGATATCCTCTTGAGCCGCCGGATCTCAGAGATTCCCGATTTATCCGCACCCGAGTTTGTCCTCGTCCTGGCTTCGTCTTAGGCGAACGTGGCGGAGTGCCTGGCAGTTGCGGCGGGCGAGGACACGCTGCTTTCGGGAGCAACGTGCCTCATCCTTATCCTCCCCCTCTTCCTCCTCCTCCTCCTCCTCCTCTTCCTCCCCCTCTTCCTCCTCCTCCTCCTCCTCTTCCTCCTCCTCCTCCTCCTCCTCCTCCTCCTCCTCTGGCGGAGTGCCTTACGGTGGCGGCCGCCGAGGACGGCGCTGCTTTCAGGGGCAGCGTCGGTGGGGTTTGGGGGGCAAAGTGCCGAGACCCCCTCGAGTCATGAAAAAATCGCCGCAAGAGGTTTCTGCTATTTGCGACCTCTGGGGGCCCTTACCAGGCAGCGGCACCATCAAAGAACGGATGCAAGACTGGTCCCAAGGAAAGGGTTGAGACTCTTGGGGTCGACGAGGAAATCGAGACGCCCGGTGTCTGGGTTATCACCGAGCGCGCTCCAGTACTCGCAAAGTGCCGAATCGTAGAAATGAAAAACGACATGTTTGCTTCGACGTATTGGATCGTGAAGTCCCCGCGGCGGATCCAGGCCATTGGAGTGTAGTTACTTTGCGAGTAGTGTAGCGCGCTTGTCTATGTTGTTAGGGGCTGTTTCTCATTCATGCCATACGGCGGAGCGCGTGGGCGAGAGAAGGCAATGCCAGCCTGTGCTCTCCGCCTTGCGGGAGCGGTGGCACGACGGCGGTCGCCTAACAAACATCGTGCGCGGCATTGGGGGGGGGCACGTTTTGGGGCACCTGTGCCTTTTCCTTCGATGTGTCAATCGTGCTCTTGGTCGCAGAACACAGGGCGAGAAAGGAACAAGAGACGTTCCTCCGCATGTGGATTTTGATTTGGATTGATATCGTAACTCGTACCATGCAGTACGGAGTGAAGGACTGGCAGATCAGGCTAGCAGCATCTCATATTTGAGTGGGGCTGGCGAACATGGCGGATTTAAGAGGAAGAGAAGGGACCGATACTGCTACCCTTCTCTCATTTTCCTCCTTTTAGGGCCTCCAGGAGGCACTCGTCGCCACAGCTGGATTCGCTTCGAAATTCTCGGCACAACGCACCCCGGGACAGGTCTGGGGAGTAGCAGTATCGGCATTTGCTGTGCACATCACCGAAGCAAGAAGTACGAGGTGAAGTTTGACCCGAGAGGAGACAGAAAATGCGAATGGATTTTTCTTGTGAGAGGTATTACATGTCTAGAGAATTATACGATGACATAAATACTAGCCGGCCGCTCTGCAGTTGATCGGGAGTTCTGTATATAGAAGAAGGGGCGTGCGCCTGTGCTCGACGACGATGGTGAGAACGAGCGGGCGGCGGTGGTGCGGCGATTGAAGATCAGGACGATGGGGATCAGGAGTGTGAGGCTCACGAGCTGAAGCTCCCTAGAGGTCATCCGTCCTCCTCCTCCTCGACGCCGACGCCGATGCTGGCGACGACGCCGAGGCCGACGACGGCGCCGACGCCGATGCCGACGCCGACGACGCCGACGACGCTGACGACGACGAACGACGACGCCGTCGACGACGCCGACGCCGACGACCATGACGACGCCGACGACGGCGACGCCGAACGACGTTGACGACGACGACGGCGCCGACGAACGACGCCGACGCCGACGCCGACGCCGACGCCGACGCCGACGCCGACGTCGACGACGCCGACGACGACGACGCGGACGCCGACGACGACGACGACGTCGACCCCGACCCCGACGCCGCCGACGACGACGACGACGACGGCGACAACGACGCCGACGTTGTTGACGACGCCGACGAGAACAACGATTGACGACGACGACGTCGACCATGACGACGCCGACGACGACGACGCCGACGACGGCGACGCCGAACGACGACGACGACGCCGACGCCGCCGACGACGACGCTGACGACGACGACGACGCCTGACGGCATCGTCGGCGACGCCGACGGCAAAGCCGAGGCCGACGCTGATGCCGACGACGACGACGACGCCGGCGCCGACGCCGACGACGAACGGTTACGACGACGACTACGACGACGACGACGACACAACGAACGACGACGACGCCGACGACGACGACCGATGACGACGACGACGAGGACGACGACGACGACGCCGACGACCACGTCGCCGACGATGACGACGAATAGCGACAACGACGATGACGACGCCGATGCCGTCGATGCCGACGACGACGATGCCGACGCCGACGCCAACTCCCCCGTCGACGACGACGACGCCGGCGCCGCCGACGCCGACACGACGACAACGAAGACGACTACGACGCCGCCGCCGTCGATGACGACAACGACGACGACGACGAAGATGATGACGCTGACGACCGCGACGACAAACGACGACAGACTCCGACGACGACGACGACGAACGACGACCCCGACGACTACGACGATGACGACGACGACTCCGACGACGACGACGCCGACGCCGACGCCGACGCCGCCGCCGTCGCCGACGACGACAACGACGACGCCGACGACGCCGACGTCGACAACGACGACGGCACGACGATGACGCCGACGACGACGCCGGCGTTGACGCCGTCTCCGACGCCGACGACCACGCCGACCACGACGACGACGAGGACGACTGACGCCGACGCCTACGCCGAGGACGGACGCCGACGACGACGAAGACGCCGACGCCGACGACGACGCCGACGACGACGACGAACGACGACGACGATGAAGACGACGCCGACGCCGACGCCCCCGACGACGAATGACAATGACGACGGCGAATGACGAATGACGACGACGACGACGACGCTGGCGCCGTCGACGCCGACGCCGACGCCATTGACGACGCCGACGCCGACGACGCCGACACCGACGACGACAACGACGACAACAATGACGACGACGACGGACGATGCCGCCGTCGCGGACGCCGACGACGACGACACGACGAATGACAAGGACGACGCCGACGCCGACGACGAAGACGCCGTCGCCGACGCCGACGCCGACGACAGCGACGCCGTCGCCGACGCCGACGCCGTCTCCGACGCCGACGACGACGACGACGCCAACGCTGACGCCGACGCCGACGCGGACGACGCTGCCGCCGCCGACGCCAACGACGACGACGACGACGACAACACCGACGACGACGACGACAACGATGACGACGAAGACGACGACGACGACGGGCGACGCCGACGCCGCCGTCGCCGACGCCGACGACGACGGCGACGACGAATCATAGGGACGAGGCCGACGACGACGCCGACGACGAAGACGCCGCTTCGACGTCGACGACAGCGACGCCGTCGCCGACACCGACGCCGACTCCGACGCCGACGACGACGACAACGACGACGCCAACGCCGACGCTGACGCCGACGCCGACGCCGACGACGACGACGCCGACGCCGACGCCGACGCCGACGACGACGACGCTGCCGCCGCCGACGCCGACGCCGACGCCGACCCCGACGACGAAGACGACTACGACGACGACGACGACGTTGACACCGACGCCGACGCCGACGACGACGACGACGACGCCGACGCCGACGCCGATGCCGACGACACGACAACGACGCCGACGCCGACGCCGTCGCCGACTCCGACGCCGCCGCCGCCGACGCAGACGCCTACGCCGACCCCGACGACGAATGACGACGACGACGACGATGACGACGACCGACAACGCCCACGACGACGACGACGCCGCCGCCGCCGCCGACGCCGACGCCGACGACACGACTACGACGACGGCGACGAAGGCGACGCCGACGACGACGACGCCGACGACGACGACGCCGACAACGACGCCGACGCCGACGCCGACGACACGACAACGACGTCGACGCCGTCGCCGACGCCGACGACGAGGCCGACGACGACGCCGACGCCGACGCCGACCCCGACGATGAATGACGACGACGACGGCGAATGACGACGCCGACGCCGAATCCGACGACGACGACTAATGACGACTACGACGACGACGACGCCAACGCGGACGCCGCCGCCGCCGTCGACGACGACGACGACGGTGACGACGACTATGCCGACGGTGACGACGACGACGCCGATGCCGACGACAACGCCGACGCCGACGCCAACGCCGACTCCCTTCGAAGAATGACGACGACGACGACAACGACGACGCCGACGCTGACATCGCCGCCGCCGCCAGCGCCAACGACGACGACGACGACCAACGACGACGACGACGCCGAATCCGACGACGACGACGAATGACGACTACGACGACGACGACGACGCCAACGCCGACGCCGACGCCGACCCCGTTCGAAGAATGACGACGACGACGACAACGACGACGCCGACGCTGCAATCGCCGCCGCCGCCAGCGCCAACGACGACGACGACGACCAACGACGACGACGACGCCGACAACGACGACGACGACGAATGACGACGATGACGCCGACGACGGCGCCGACGGTGGCGACGGCGGCGGCGGCGACGTCGGCGTCGTCGTTGTCGTCGACGACGACGACGAACGGCGACGCCCACGACGAAGATGCCGACGACGACGAAGACGCCGACGACAGTGACGACGTTGCCGGCAACGACGCCGACGACGACGCCCACGACGACAACGACGACGTCCATCACGACGCCGCCGACGACGACGACGCCGACGCAGACGCCGACGACACGACGACGACGACGACGCCGACGCCGACGCCGACGACGACGACGACGCCGCCGCCGCCGACGCGGACGCCGTCGCCGACGCCGGCCGCCGCCGCCGCCGACGCCGACGCCGACGCCGACGCCGATGACGAATGACGACGACGACGACGACGACGACGATGCCGCCGACGACGACGACGACGAGTACGACGACGACCGACGACGCCCACGACGACGACGACGCTGACAACGACGACAAAGCCCCCGCCGCAGAGGAGCCCTCCGTGGAGTGCGCGGTGCAGGCGGGGGGCGCGGCGCCGCCGGCGCCCCTGCGCCGCCCTACACAATGTCACAATGTTAATACTACTGGTGACGTCCGGGAAATATCCGCCCCTCCCACCGCGTATTGTTTTTTTACATCGGGTTCCCGTGAAATGGCCTTTTTTTTGACTCTTTTCCAAAATGCTGCTCTCGCTGAAGCGTTGGCTCCATTTTCGGGCTACCGCTCGTTCCAAATCGTGCTCCCGCTGCAGCGCTGGACTCATTTCCGCGCTTCCGCTCGTTCCGAATCGTGCTCCCGCTGCAGCGCTGGCGTCATTTCCAGCGCCACGCCACGGCATGGCTGCCGGTCCTTCCAAATAGGCCCCCAAATCTAGAAAATGGCCCCCTCGAAGAAACCATCGGAAGTGATTACACATTCGGTGTCGAATCGTTGATTTTTTGAGCCGCAGAAGCCCCCCCCCCACTTTGGGGCTTAGCCACGCCATGCTATGTCAGGCTACGCGTTGATTTTCAACACCATTCTATGCCATGTGATGCTATGCCCTGCTACGACATCCGACCTGTGGGAATAGAGAGGAGATCTACGCCATGGTAGGGGTTGGGAGGGAGGGGTAGGACGTCAGATATGACGCGAGCGCACCTAGCTTGCCCCCACCCCTCCGACCCTCCTCCCCCAAGACCCCCCCGAGTCATACAAATATTCACTGCGTTTAGCTCCCCATATGCGCATCTATTCGCATGGACCTTTCCGCCGTGAGTGTCTAGGCGCAACGGATTTCGAATCTAAACGGGCTTGGGTATTGATAGGCTGGGAGTGCTTCTAATTGTGAATGAGTTGGAGTGCGACAGGAGGCCAACGTAGGCCCCAGGAAGCCCCCGGGAGGCCCCAGGAGGCCCCAGGAAGCCCTGGAGTTACTCCTGTGGCCTTCTGAGGCCTCCTGCTCCTGGGGCCTCGTGGGGGTTCCTGGAACCTTCTGGTGCCTCCTAGTGCTTCTTGTGGCTTCCTTTGGCCTCCTATGGCCTCCTGGGGCCTCCTGCTCCCTAGGGCCTCCTGGAGCCTCTTGGGGCTGGGGGCCTCCTGTGGCCTTCTGGAGGCTCCTGTGGCCTCCTGTGGCCTCCTGATGCCTCCTTGGACCTTCCGTGGCCTCCTGGGGCCGCCTGGAAGACATCCTCAATCTCCGGCCCCCCCTGGGGTGCGACAACCGGCGCCTCGCTCGAGACATCCTCACCATCTGCTCCGAAAGCGGAAGATGCTGCAGCAGCAAACAAGCAAACCGCTCGAGGTATCCTCGCCATTTTCGCGCGACCGGAGGAGTGATATACCCCCTGGCGGCTCCTCCCTGGGGTGTTGAAACCCGCGCCTCGCCTCGCTCAGCATCGTCATCAACAACAGCACCAGCCTGATCATACATAATATATCCGACCATACCAAAACATAGCATACCATAACCTAACATATCATGACATAACAAAACATGTCATATCATAGAATAGCAGATCATGCCACAACACATCGTACCATATCATAGTACAACATAGCGTGCTACAACATTGCATTCCATACCATAGCATGAGGAGGAGGAGGAGGAGGGGGGGGAGGTGTGTGTGTGTGTGTGAGATAGTTGGCGCAGTCGCAGTAATAACAATAACCCCATCTGTTGGATATGGTGAACAAGAACCCCATCCTTCCGATATGGGGAATATCAAAATGCTCATTCTTTGGATATGGGGAAAATTCGCGGCGGACGGTGTTTCGCTTTTTTCGGCCTCCAGGGGCCCTTGCCGGGCCAGAGGACCATCAAAAACGATTCGGGATGAGACACCGGTCCTGGGGAATGGGTCGAGACCTTTGGGGTCGACGCTATGAACAATCATGACGTCGGGAGTCTGGGTATGCCTCTCCCCCTTCACAATTTAATCATGTGAATTATGCTCCCTTGTCTCCGCCGATTCCGTCCTGAGGATAGCGGGCCCTCTCCGCGTGCTGGTTTTGCACATCGGGTCTCATTCGATGTGTCTTACAACTTGTTACACTCAAAATGTTTGCAGTGTTCCAAACTGGTGCTCCCGCTGTAGCGTGGGCCTCATTCTCGGATCGGCGCTTCGCTCCCGTCGTTCAGATTGGCGGTCTCGCCACACCAGAGCGTGATCCACTTTTTCTGGATCCGAGTCTTCCTTCATCGTTGTCGTTTCCCTTGTTGTTCCCCTCCGCCTTTCCCTGGTCCTCTTGTTTGTCTCGCACCTTCCACTCGAGTTCCTGCTGCTGCTGCAGTTCGTCCTCGTCCCTTTCCTCCCGCTCACCTTCCTGTTCAATGCCACCTCCTACTCCTGCGTATGCAGCTGCCCTTCCGATTGCGCATAACACGATGTGGTCTGTTTGTTGGAGTTGCAGGTCGGCTATGACACGCCTGCGCGGATAGAGGAACACCAGCGCAATGGGAAGGGATGGGATGGAGGGATGGGGTGTCAGATGAGGCGCAAGCGCATCTAGCTTGCCTCGCCCCCCCCCCTCTGTCCTTTCCTCCGCCAGCCTCCCCCCTCCCTCTCCCCCTTCTCGGCCGAATCGCCGCGGGGAGGCGCGGTCCAGATCTTGTCAACATTCGGGAGCTGTGCCTGGTGGTGGCGTAAGTGGCGGATCCTCGTGAGGTCCCCAGCGCTACTCACCGGGCCAGTATCCCGCACGAGCACGGACACAGCGAAGCCTCGCGTCGCATCAGCCCCTCCCTTTACCCTCCGCCGTTCCTCGCACCTCCTCCACAGGAGAATCGACGATAAAAAAGCGACACCTGCAGGGAGCCAAGACGTTGAGATGAGGAGCAGTTCGGCTTCGGAAGGGTCTCGCCGCTCCTAGGGTCCTTCCACGGTTTCTCCATTTGGCGCTCTTCGTGGGCCCTCGCGACATCAGGGCCAAAACGGGGGTCGTTCTTTGCGCATCGTTCCTGATGCTTGTAGTTTGACAGTCGGCTTTCGGAGGTCTATGCGGTTGTCTTGTGGATTTGCACGGGGTCACCGCCTTTGGCGCGTTCCACGCGCACTGCTGTTCTACCTCCTCCACTCTTCCCTAGCTCGCTGCAATTCCCGCTTCCTCCCTCCCTCTTCCTCCCCCCCCTCTTCCCCCTCTCCTGTTGAAAAGTCCATCCCCCTCAACCCCCTTCCGCCTAAGGACAACACTCAGTTTTGGACATGCCTCCGTGCTCTTCGTGTTTCGGTCCTCCGCGCCAGAACGCTCTGCGTTCTGGGGAAGTAAGTTATTCGTGGGGCCACGTGCCCTCGGCGAAAGTGGCCCCGCGCGGAACGGGCCCGAGGCCCCGGGTCCTTGCCAGCACAACCAGCCAGCCCTTCACCCCACCTGGCGGTCTGGGGGCTGATGGGCAAGGGCAGAAGGGAGGAGGGGGAGGAGGGGAGGTCCTAGCTATGGTAGTGGTGGGCGGAAAATCGGCGCATCAGGGGCGTGCTCATCCTGATCCGCGCTTCATCCACGGCCCAATACCTGCGAGTCTCGGGGCCCCGCAGCTCTCGACCCTTTCACTCGGCTCAGCTCCTCGTCCCGCACAGGTTTGTTGACGGCCCCAGGGCCCGACACCGGCCTCCACAGGCCGAACCTGCCAACAGACCTCAGGCTCGACCTCTTGGAGCCCCTGGAGGTCTGGGGAGTCGTCTCATCCCGAGGGTAGGACCGGGCGGCCAGGACGCAGATACATCCGTTCCGGAACGCTCTGAGAAGGCCGCGGCGCCCGAGACATCTTCCAGAGCCGCTGGATCTCAGAGCTTCTCGGTGTATTCTCACCCGATGTTCTGTTCATTCTGGCTTCGTCTTACCTCGGTATCGTTAAGAAGATCCCCATCCCCATCCCCAATCGTTGTTCCTTATTATTATATACCCCCACCTACCTCGTATTCCGGCCGATAGCAACCCAATCCGGGACCTCCCATCCGGACTATAAAAAATCAATACAAAGTGACCGCTTTTCTTCTCAACATCGTCTTTCTTGTCGTCGACGATGCGAAAAGCGTGGCCGGAAAGGGACGCGGCGCACATCGCGCGCGGCAGTCAATCTGGGCCCGCCCACTCTGATTGTAAAAAATCAATACAAAGTCTGTGTTTTTTCCTCTCAGCACGGCCTGCCTTGTCGCCGACGGTGCGAAATATGTGGCAGGAATTGGACGCGGCGCACATCGCGCGCGGACGTCCATGCGGGCTGCGGGCCCTCCCATCCTGACTAGTGCTACTAGTACCATTGGTACGCCTACTACTATTACTACTACTACTACTACTACTACTACTACTACTACTACTACTACTACTACTACTACTACTACTACTACTACTACTACTACTATCACTACTACTACTACTACTACTCTTGCTACTACTTGTTCTGCAACTTGTACCACCAATGGCATTACTACAAGTCTAGCAGTAGCAAAGTATTACTAGCACTTCTACTTCCATAGTGCTACTACTCTGTACTACGACTCGTACGAGTACGTGTACTACCTGTAGTATTTCTGCTTATACTACTCGTATTATTACTCGTACTACTAGTACTACTACCTATTCGTGTCCCCACTCTACTACTACTACTGCTACTACTACTACTACTACTACTACTGCTACTACTACTACTACTACTACTACTACTACTACTACGACGTCGACGACGACGACGACGACGATGACGACGACGACGACGACTACTACTACTACTACTATACTACTACTACTGCTAAACTACTACTACTACTAATAACTACGACTACTACTACGACTACGACTACGACGACTACGCGACGACGACGACGACGACCGACGACGACGACGACGACGGACGACGACGACGACGACGACGACGACGACTACCTACTACTACTACTACTACTACATACTGCTGCTGCTGCTGCTACTACTACTACTACTACTACGGACTACGACCTTACGACTACGACTAGACTACGACGACTACTACTACTACTACTACTACTACTACTACTACTACTACTACTACACTACTACACCTTCTACCACTAACTACCACTACTACTACTAACTACTACTACTACTACTACTACTACTAACTACTACTACTACTACTACTACTACTACTACTACTACTACTACTACTACTACTACTACTACTACTACTACTACTACTACTACTACTACTACTACTACTACTACTACTACTACTACTACTACTACTACTACTACTACTACTACTACTACTACTACTACTACTACTACTACTACTACTACTACTACTACTACTACTACTACCACTACCACTACCACTACCACTACCACTACCACTACCACTACCACTACTACCACTACGCGCCAGCACCCAGTTGCGCCAGCATTGTTTCTTATGTCGTGGGAGGGCGGAACGTGTCCGTTGTTCTTTTCAACATGGCCAGTCTTGTCGTCGACGATGCGAAAGTCGTGGCGGGAATGGAGCGCGGCGCACATCCCGCGCGGACGTCAATGCGGTGTCCTGGGGTATCCTCCACTCGCACTTGAATGCCCGCGCAGCCCCCAGTTGTGCCATCACTGTTTCTTATGTTGTGGGAGGGCGGGTGGGAATGGGCATGTCATGCTTGACTCGCTCGAGCTGGCTAGCTTGACCCCATCCAGACCCCCAGCACCCTTGCACCCCAGTTGGGGACACACACCTCGAAACCCGAAGGGAACGCCCTATATCCCCAGCTAGGGGGTCAATCGGCCATTCGGGCCCAGGCCACGTTCATGGGGATAGGGGTCGGTTAAACGATGCCGAGGGAGGCCCCCACGGCCCCCATGGCCCCCAGAGCTCCCTCGCGAAGCCCAGGGGGCCCGAGGGCTCGAAAAATGAAGCGACAAGCTTGGGGCACCTGGGGCCAGGGGCACCTTCAGCAACCCCCGACAGCTTGCGGCGCTCCCCTGGTTCGAGCGGCCTGGGGCCCTGGCCCTGAGGGCGAGCGATCGGTGGCAGGTTCGCGCGTTGCTCCCCTCGAGCCTTCAAAGCCAAGCCATCTAATGGCCTTCGGCCCATCGCCACCGCGCGCGCCTGGGCTGTAGGTCATAGGTCATGGACCTCTGGGATGATCGTTGGGATGTCGAGCCGCTCGGGGGCCTCTTGGGGCGTTTTGGGGGCCTCTCGGGGGTCTCTTGGGGCCACTTGGGGGCTTCTTGGGGGCCTCTTGGGGTCTCTTGGGGGCCTCTCTGCGCGCTTCTCTCGAGCCTTCAAATCCGAGCTATCCTCCAGGTTGTTCTAGTTCAGAGAAGGGCAAGTTGAGACAACGTTCGTTAGCCTTCGGGGGAGTCCCTCGTCGCCGCGGCCCAACACAGCTCGTCAGAGCGGTGCGTTTGAAGCCCGGGAGGGGTCTGGGGACCGATTCCGAGTTGCCGCTGTCACTCGCCATGCTACGATTTTCGTTGGTGTTTTCCCTTCTGACGCTTCTCTCCACTTCGGCCCCAGGGGAGCGCCTGGGGACCATGGCCACGACGACACTGCTGTGCCGCTTTCCAGCGGCGGCCCGCCGCGAGCGCGTGGCCAGAGAGCACTGCGCGAGCACGCACTGCTTCCCGCGGGCTGGCCGGATCCCCGCCTCTAGAAAGGCCTGCGGTTGCTCCTGGCAGGCCCCCCTCGGAGGCGCACGGAGGCCCCAAAGTGCTGGCCCAGAGTGCTCAGATCCTCCGGAGAGCTCGATCATCGAACCTCAGAGGACGACGCCGGCAACGTCGCGGCGACAACGACGCCGCGCCGCCTTCAGCGTCAGCTTGGCCGCGAGGCCATCGCGGCTTCGACGACGACTTCGACGACGACGACGACGACGACGACGACGAGGACGACGACGACGACGACGACGAGGACGACGACGACGACGACGACGACGACGACGACGACGACGACGACGACGACGGCTTCGGCGGCGGCGGCCGCGGCGGCTTCGGTGACCCACGACCGACGACGGAACACCGACGGCCGACGACCGATGACCCACGACGGCGGTGACGGACGGCCAACCGCCGCGTCGGCCGACGGTGCTGGGCCGGCTGCCCCGCGGCGGCGGGCCGTCCGCGAGAGGCCGTAGCGGAGGAGCTGCGCGCGAGGGGCGCCGCGGCCTCAGCGGCGCGCCCGCTCTGCGGGCCCCCCCTCGTGAGAGACGCCACGGCGGGGAGGCCTTTTCCGCGCTGTTCTCGGCCGCCGGAGGGCCTCGCCGGGCCCGGCCGTCCAGAAACGGCTCCGGAGGAAGAGCTGGTGCCGGGTCCGAGGCGGGAACGGATACATGAGCCACCTCCTGGAGGATCAATTTTCGGGGACCTCTGCGGGCGGTGGAGGTCGACATTTTCGGGCCCCCGGGGGCCGAAATTTCATCCATATCCACCGCCCGCTGGGGCACCAGGACGTCGGTTTCCAGGCGGTGGATATGGATAAATTCCCGCCTCGCACCTGGGAATGGATCGAGACCTCTGGGGGTCGACGGCATAAAAAATCATAGCGTCGGAGTTTTGGGACCCTCGTCCTCGGAACACGACGGAACCAAAGAGCTCTCAAGCGGCGATTGCGCCGCTTATTTCCGGCTGGCTCTAGGACGTGTCTAGTCATCTCTAGGCTCTAGCTTCGGTGGTGACGGTTCGCTCCACATACTCACGCTCTGGATACATGCATCCAGTCATGCATGCATGCACACTTGCAGCTACTCATGCAACGCATGTGTCATCACGCGCTGCAGTGGCAACGATGTTCGGCTGAAGTGCTCGGGCCTCTGCGATCGACGTTCGTCGCCGAAGCAAGCCCAGACCCCCCTCCTCGCGTCGTGAAACAGTGCAGACGGAGGGTTTTCATTCTTTCGGCCTCCGGGGCCCTCGCTGGGCCCCAGGACCGTCAAAAGCCGACTCGGGATGACTGGCCCTATGAGGACGGGTCCTGCAGCTTTCTCGCCGTTATCAGGCTTCCAGGGCATCCACGGGCCCCTGGATCGCTTGACAACGACTGAGGGAGAGAAGTGGGGCGCCTCCTCCCAGGGACAATGTTGAGGACAGGCTCGGAGGGGGATGTATCGGCCCCCAGTCGCCCGTTCATCGCTGATCGGGGCCTGGTGGCCCACTGGCCGCTCCCACCCCGCCCGGGAACGCGCGGTTTCGCTATCGGGGGCCTATCGCCGATCTTTCGATTCCAGGTCGATGTTCCCCCCTCCCCCCCCTGAGCCACTCCCCCCTATGTATCGTTGCCCCTCGGGGTCGGGGATCTCGGCGGTCGACGTGTGATCCACTGATCCAGACCGTTGCAGCTGGACCCCCACTCTGGGCGGCATGCCGAGCGGGGCATGGACAAGAAATTTGGCCCCGAAGGCCGGATTCGTGTTCCTGTCGCGGCGGAAGTCAGAGCAAACCGCCCACACGTTTGATTTCCAGGTTTCCGGAGGCGGCCACATCTATGATTCTAGACGCTTCGCACAACCCCACCAGCCCATCCAGAAACGATGCCCAGGCGAGTTACCCCGATCACGGATGTGGAGCAGCATGCAATGGAGTAAAGGGCTGGGGAAGTCGTCATGCCCGAAGAGGGGAGCAGGGGAGCATGTAGGAGGAATGGGAGGATGAGGAGAAGGAGGAGAAGGAGGAGAAGGAAAAGGGGGAGGTGGCCGGGGTGGGGAGAACGGAGGAGGAGCTAGGAGGAATAGGTGGATGAGGAGGAGGAAGAGGAGGAGGAAGGAGGAGGAAGGAGAAGGAGAATGTGGGCAAGGAGGAGGATGAGGAGGAGGAGGAGGAGGACGAGGAGGTGGGGGAGGGGGAGGAGGGAGGAACGAGGAAGAGGAGCTGGCGGTTAAGGAGGAGGAGAAGGAGGAGGAACAGCAGGGGGAGGAGGAGGAGGAGGAGGAGGAGGAGGAGGAGGAGGAGGAAAAAGGCGAACAGAAGAGCCATACACCTCATGAATGCCTCTCAGAATCTCCTCGGATGTCTCTTGGAAGCTTTTGGAGCCCTCTTGGAGCGTCTGGAGGGCATCTTGGCAGGCCCAGGGCCGCCTTTGAACGTCTTGGGTGCCTCGGGGATCCTCTTGAGGCCTCTTGGGGGTGTCTTGGGAGCCTCTTGGAGGCCTCTTGGACGCCTCCTGGGGCCGTCTGGGCGCCACTTGAGGAGCCCTTGGGAGCTCGAGGGGCGCTCTTGGCCCCATCTTGGAAGGCATCGATCACACAAGGAAATAGTCGTAATTAGCGTCCCCCCTCGGGAGCCCCACACATCGACTCTTGGGGAGCTCTTGGGGCGCGCTTAGGGCGCTCTTGGAGCGCTCTTGGGGGCTCTTGGGCCCCTCTTGTGGTTCTATCGGGCCTCTCTTGGCGCCCTCCTGGGTCATCTTGCAGCCATCGTGAGGCCTCGGAAGGCTATCGAAAGCGAACGGATGGCGATGCAACGCACATCGTTTTTCCTCAAGTTGATCCATGAATCCGGCTTCTTGGGGGCTTCCTTGGAAGTCTCGGAGGCTTCTTGGAGCCGTCTTGGAGTGTTGTCGGGGCCTCTTGGAATATCTTGGAAGCCATCTTGAACCATCTTCGGTTATCTTGAGCCATCTTGGAGGGCATCTTGGGGTCTCTGAGGCACTGTTGGAGCCGTCTTGGGCCATCTTGGGCGCCCCACCTACCCGCAGAACCCCCTGTCCAGGTCCAGGGGAGGGGTTAGGGGGAGGGGTCAAGCTACCCACCCGCCCGCAAGCCGTCTAGCTCACTCCCACCCGCCCTCCCAACACATAAGTTAAACCCGAGCCTGAGCATGTTGAGCGGTCATCTTTGGATGGGCAGCTACTGGGACTCAAAGCCGACCCCTGGTGCGCGACGCTTGGGCGAGGTGCGCCACGCGCGCCAGGCACCCCTGGGGCCCGAGCGTGCGAGGCACGCCTGGTGCGTCAGATGCGCCACGTGCTCCGCGTGCGCCAGGTGTGCCGCACACTCCAGCCGCGCTAGGTGCGCTACGTTAGGGGCACGTACCGAGTGTGTCAGGTGCGCCTGCGCACGTGACAGCACACATCGGGAAACATGTCGGCCCCCACCGTCCATGTCGAAAACCAATGCCCATCATTGTGTCTGGTGGGCCTGCGCGCAGCAGGCCACGCGCCACACCCCCGCCGTCCCTGTCAAAAACCGCTGGGCAGTGATCGCGGGTTGGCCGCGCATGATCCAGATTTGCCGCGATGTGCATTTCGTATGGTTTTTGTTGGGGATGGTAGCCCTGCGCGCAGCAGGCAATATGCTGACACCCCCGCCGTCCCTGTCAAAAACAATTAAGAAGGTGCTCGCGGGCCTCACGAACATTACTCAAGACTTTGCTCCAAAGTGTATTTTGCATGGTTTTGTGAATCGGGATGTTGGGGGGGGGGGCCGCATCGGGTTGGCCGCGCATGCTCCAAATGTGGAGGCAGAGTGTTTTGTATGGTTTGTGGAGAAAGATGGTGGGGGGAGAGTCCGCATGGTTCCTGGTTGGCCGCCGGTCGCCTGGGGGTGGGGGTGTATGTTAATAAGGAAAAGTGTTTAAATCCTCCTAGAAGGGGAAGAAGGGCGTTGGAAGAGGAGCCTCCGTAGACCACGTACGCCCAGAGGGCTGGTGGGATTATCCAAGGCCTCGCGGTCCAGATTCCCTCGCCGCGAACCCGTGGATGCAGGGCCGTTCCTCGTGAATGCCCCGAACGGAGCGTACCCGTGGGATCGCGCATCCTTGGGATCGCATTCTCGGTGCCTAGACCGCGAGGGCATGGATTCAGATACTATCGATACTGCTCGTCGCTCGCGAGCCATGCCGTAGGACTGGTCGCTCGCGAGAGAGCTCCGCGCGGGAAGGTGCGGCTTCGGGCCACGCGCGGACGGCTGCCCTCAACGGGCCCCCCGAGTGGTCTCGGCTGGCCTCACCACGTCCCCCGAGCAGTCCGGGGCGGCCTCGGCACCCACTCGGCGGGCCAGCCGAGGCCGGCGGGGACTACTCGGACTAGCTGGGGAGGGCTGTCTGTGC